TATTAATTGCACATTTACAGTTTTTATTTTCAGATTCTGAATCTGAAGTGGACGAATATGATTCGTCTTCTGAATCATTATTGATTAAAATATTAGATAAAGTCTTTTTAAGACCTTCATCTTCAATCGCATCTATTTTCTTTTTAATATAACAGCGATTGGCATAATGCCCTATACGGCCACATTTATAACAATGAATTTCTTTTCTTTCTTGTTTAATTTTCTTTTTAGCCTTATGAGGCTTTTCTCGTTCTTTTTCTTTAAAAATTTTCTTTTTTCTTTTAAAGAATTTTTTAGTTTTTCCTTTATTAGGTATAGTCTCTTTTTCAACCTTATAAGGTTGATCATAAGCAAATTGTTCACAGAATTCTCCCAACTCTTTTCTTTTAGTAAGTCTTTGAGACTTTAGTTGATTTTTAAGCTTTAAATCATTGCATAAAGCTAAGCCTTCTTTTATACAGGCGTTTGACAAATACCCATATGATAGGTTGTCGTAAGGAATATATCCTCCATATTCTGCTCGAATTTTATTTCGAACTTTTTCAGCAAATAAAGTCGGCAAGCCATCTATGAATTTGGCTTTCCAATGTGAGCTATTAGCATCAGCTAGAGACATAACTCTACTTAGATAGGTGTCTTTATACCACCGAAAATGAGTTAAAGAAGGACATCTAAAATTTTGTAATAAGGTCCTGATTCTTTCACCTTCATCAAGGTAAGCACCAGTAAAATGGTGTGCTATTGCTAACATTAACGTATAAACAGCATCTTCTTGCTGTATACCATTTTCTATTTTTGTTGCTCCTAATATCTCATTTCGAGCATCTGCAGACAGATAATTGTCCCACCATCCTTTAAGGATACCAGTAAAGCCACAGGTTATAAAAGAGGCTATCATACGTTCATTATTACCATTTTGTTTGCCATTGGTACCATACATTAGCATTCTATGTATAGTCGAATTAATCTGGGTGTCAGATAACCCATCTATATTCCATTCGTAGATATTTCTACCATTATAATCAGCCTGTAGATAGGCATCATTTTCTTCAAAAAGAACATCTGCTGGAGTTGGTCTTTTATAATAGTACCTTTCCAGTCTTTTCTTTGGATGGCTTTTAAGCTTGTTAATCTCTGTAAAATTATTTTCTACAGCAAAAATTTCTGTTGACGATATATCGTCAGAACTGTCTATATTAGACGTATTTTCTTCTTCAGATATAACTGTAGAAGAGGATGGTAACACTGTATCAAGTGTGTGTATTCTAGCATTAGTTAGTTTTTTAGCTAAACTTTCAATAATATCAGGAGTAAGTTCGCTATCTTTTTTAAATCCTGAAATATCAATAGGAGGTTTAATATTTGTTTTTTCTATCTTTCTTTGAGAAAGATTTGTTTTTTCTAAAAGTTTTAATGAGGGTATAACCTCTGTAATTTTAGACACTAATTTGTCTAAGACTTCTTCAACCCTTATAAGTTGTTCTCCTATGGTTTTTAAATAAATATTAGTATAATTATTTTGTTTTATAATTTTACTTAATTCTTTCATATGTTCTTCATTGAACTCATTAGGCTTTATGAAAGCCATAGCCTCTATTGAAGAGGGATATACATCTTTTAAGCGACACTCCTCCTTTTCTCGAAACGTCTTCAGAAGTGGCGAATATTTGCATATTAATTTGAAAGTGACCCGCATATCAGAAGTGGCGAATATTTACACAATAATTTGAAAGCGACCCACTTATTTAACAGTAGCCGCCTTACTTCGCATTAAGCATAGTAAAAGTTGATGGCGACATTATTCTTCCTTTAAGGAAAGTGACTTTTGTAAAGCTGCTTTATAAAGCTGCTTTAAGAGATGCTAGACGGCTCCCCGAGGCTCAATCTAGTATTTTGTCTGCTTATAAAGCTGGGCTTTTACCTTTAAGGTCGGGTGGATTATTGAATATTTCTGCCCAGATGTCTTCAGGGTCCTGAGCATCTTGAATCTGATCCAGACCAGGTGTATCTTCTTCCATAGAAGAAGCATGACTATTAGTCTCTGGTTCGTCAAAAGCTTCAAAGAACTGCCTTTTAAAATATTCTAAGCACTTCTGCTTAATTTCGGCTTCAGAGCTTTGAGGATATTTTCGCCTTATTAAGGCTGCCATTTTAGTCATAGGATTATCTTTTTTAACTTCTTGAGTCATATTTGACTCTAACAGAGTTTTATTTCTCTGGATAATTTCCTCTAATTCTTTAACTTTGGTCTCGAGACAGATCCCATTCCACCATCTGCATTGGTATGTTCTTTTAAGAATAGGAATATGTGATGGGGTCCAGTCACATATAAGCGACCAATTCCAAATCCAAGGAATTTCTACTTCTGCAAAGAAGTGTGCGAAGCACATGCCATCTATGAGCTGGCTTTCATCCATTCTTGATAATTTTGGATGACTGTCGACCCATGAAGAATATAACTTCAGAAGGGGTTCGGGAATAATTGCAATTTCGATTCCATATGTTTCCCACCATTTATAAAACCAATTAGGAACTCCCTTTTGAAGGGCTTCAGGACATAGCTTGATAAGCCATGTATGCTTTTGTTTTGGGTTCTGATATAAGAACAGATCAAAGAAAGCTTGTTTATAGTCCCAATAGTTGAATTTGTAAACTTCTTTTGTAGCTTGAACTCTTACTTCATTTGGGTTTATAGCCCAATTGCGAGGAAGTATAACTTCTCTGATAACACATTTGCTATAAGCAGGAGGGACAGAACGATTATCTGTACTCCAGAAATGAACTATTTCCATTCCCTTTTGACTTAATAAAGTCCTTATCCATGCTCTTGATTCCAGCGAAAAAGTAGGATAGTAGGTATCGTGAAGATATCTCTGTCTAATTGTTTCTGGTTCTTGCATTAAAGCAATATCTTCGGGTTCTAAATATAGAACTATATCGGTATGAGATTTTTCAAACCATTGAGTTTCCTCACTCCTATTTGATATGGCTTCTTGACCTATAAGGTCAAAAGTAGATGAACTTGGGCTTGGGCTGCTGCCTCCTCTCCCCCTCCCTGAAAAGGAGGGATTACTCCGTCTTATTTGTACCCTGTAAAAATTCACGAGGGAGATGGAGTATGACTCCTATTTGATATGGCTTCTTGACCTATAAGGTCAAAAGTAGATGAACTTGGGCTTGGGCTGCTGCCTCCTCTCCCCCTCCCTGAAAAGGAGGGATTACTCCGTCTTATTTGTACCCTGTAAAAATTCACGAGGTAGAAAATCTGGGAGATGATTAGAGTTACCTTTAATATATTCAATTTTAAATTGATATATTGCTAATTCTGCTTGCCATCTAGCAAATATTTGTTTAGAGACAAGATTTTTAACATCTTTTTCAATAATGCTTTTAGCAGAACTACAATCTATTCGTAATAAAAATTCTTGATTAAGAATATCGTCTCTAAATTTAGAGAAACATTTTAAAATAGATATTTGTAACTGTTTTATATCAGTTATTTCATCTGGGAATTTTGACGCAAACTCAATACTTCTATCAATAGGAATTGTTGTTCCTTTGTTAATATTATGACCCAGAAATCTAATCTGAGTTTGAAATAATTTCATTTTTGGGGCAGATATAGCTAACCCATTTTTTATGGCTAGAGATCTAAAGGTCTCTAAATGTTTAACATGTTGATCGAAACTATGAGAAAAGATCAAAATATCATCTATATAAGATAAAATAAAATCCGTATAAGGAATAAAAATATCATTCATAATATTTTGAAATTCAGAAGGGGCATTTTTAAGCCCAAATGGCATAACATTCCATTCATAGTGTCCAAATGGGACAACAAAAGCAGTTTTATACTTATCTTTATCTTCTATCTGGATTTGCCAGTAGCCTGATTTTAAATCAAACTTAGAAAATATTTTTGCATTAGTAATGCGATTCAATAAATCCCTTTTATTAAGAATTGGGTCCATTTATCCTAGTTTTCAGTTTTATTTGTCGATGTTATCCTACCAAATTATCCTAAATTTAAAATATTATCCCAATTTGACAATCCATATCATTCTACTAGAGTATCCTAAATTTAAAATATTGTCCCGTTCTGACAAATTATCCCTTATCGTAATAGGAGTTATAAATTACTGGATATCGATGACATATTGGCATTTAGAGGTGGGTTAGTTGCCCTAAAATGATCTATTATTTTCCATTTTTTCACTTAAATAATCCTACTTGTAAAACATTGTACTTAAATTGCCTATTGTATTTTTTTTTTTTTTTTTTTTTTTTTAAAAAAGGGGTACATTAGGTCAACTTAGTGCAATTTATCCTTTAGGGGTTGTTTGCTGGGCTTGAAAACTAATTCCAAGACAAAGAAATAGAGTCATCACACGTTTACGGTTTTCCAACCCATTTCCGTGCTCAAAACTCTGGAAATAATGTTTCTTTTCTTTAAGAAAACTGACACGTCCACAATATACAAAGATAGCACCTCAACTTGTACAATTTGGTAATAAGAAATGTCCCATTGAAAAGCAGGTCCAAGCGGTACAATTTACCATCAACCAGGAAATGTATATAACATACAAAGATGGAAAATGATAAGGGCACACCTCTAACCATAACCTCAACCACACTCCCTCTCTCTCATTTGCTACAGTACACCAGGCCTTTAAAATCCCATGTGGAGCCCGGTGCACTGTAGCCAGTGAGAGAGTGAGTGTGGTTAAGGTTGTGGTTGGTGGTGTGCCCCTAGTGCCACCAACAAAGAGTAAATTCAGACAGGCTCGTCCCTCAGCGCAGGTAGCGTATTGTTAGGATGTCAGTTACAATCAGAATATGTCGATGATCCAATCTCTGCAGATCTAGATGTACTAAATTACGACGCACACTTTACGTGCTGAGACGCGCAAGCCCATTTACTCATAAAACTAATATGCTAAACAATAACAACCAATTACCAAAAATTCCACAATCACGAAGGATACAAATAACATCCACAGTTACTTAAACAAATCATCCATATCTATTGAAGGGGGGAAAAACAAAGAAATTAACATAAATTTCATATTGTTTGACACCTAATAATGGGAACCAAATCCCTTCATGTGTTTATATATATATTTATATAACGTCACACAGATACATAATATCACATAACATCTCAAATAGTGAAAATAGCAAACAATTACAGGATTCACTGCATCATTTGTTTGCTTTCATTTGACAAGCCACAGACATAGAACGCAACCGACTGGCTATTTGGGTGAATGAAGGCCGCTGCTGCGGGTCCGGAGCCCAGCATTGCTCCATGAGCCTTCTCCATTCTGGATCACATGATCCTGGCACTGGCGGTCTCAATGTGTTGTTCACAATACCTCCTGCATAAAAAAATCGAACCTCGATAAATTACAACAAACTTTTATCTTAAACATTTGGGGTAAGGTTATATGAATCCTACTTTTCTAGTTTATGGGCTATCTTTCTCAATTGCTTTGCTTAGCCAGGTGGGAAATGTATCAGGATTTCAGTATTACGAAGGTGTTGGGGAATTTCAATCTCCCCGCCTACCACGATATGCGTAACTCGGAAGCCAACCCCAATCAATAAGATAGAACAACCACAATCAAGAAAAAAGAACACTGAGATTTACGTGGTTCGGTCGACCAACTTCGACCTACGTCCACGGGGCAACAATACGAGAAGTTCACTATGTATCAGGGAGAACTACAAGAGGAACCACTCAACTCTCGTCTCTCAATCTCTCAACCTCACATACATAATCAACTCCCATATTCTCTCCGAAGCAAAATGATATTTCTGTAGGAAGGCAGTAGAAAACACTATTTGAAAACCAAAAATGCTTGTCTACATACCTATAATGGCACCATAATGCATATTGGCATAAGGCTCCTCACCAGTGAGAATTTCCCACATCACTATCCCAAAGGAGAATACATCAACCTGCATTAACATTGTAAATTAGTACCTGGTATTTGTATCATTTTAATAAGCAACAGTAACAACATAATATGCTTAAATTCTTTGAGAAGATACCATTAGATACTCATATATGCTGAAGAATCTAAGCTCTAAAAAGAGCGTCCAAATGGAAAATAAAACCAACAAAAAAAACAAATTTGGAGAGAGAGTGACCTGCCCACATGATTTCCCACTTTTTGTTTTATTTGAAAAGAGGGAAATTATGCGGGTGGGTCAACTTCTCTCCAAATTTAAGATACAACAATCTCCTTTCACTCTTACTTCAATCTAAAAAGATTGATCAATGAAGCGCATCTTACCCCTTTATATAGATATGGCATCTCAAAAAAATTATGAAATTAAAAAATGAGAGTAAATACACATGACTATAAGGAAGGGGGAAAAAAGCATTACCTTTTCAGACACCTTATTGCTGCTTCCATTTAATAACTCAGGAGCCATCCATGGTAATGTGCCCCTCACCCCACCAGAAACCAGGGTATTTCTCTTAATTTTAGACAAACCAAAATCGCCTACCTGAATAAGGCCAAACTAAAATTCAGTTTATATTGCACAAGGATCAGGCAATATATAATAAAGTATTTGCACGACCAACAATTGGTGATTAAAGTGAACAAGTTTTACCTTACAAATGGGTCGTGACTGATCTTTAAGGTTCACAAGCAAGTTATCACACTTCAAATCAAAATGTACAATATTTTTAGAATGTAAATATTCCATCCCAAAAGCAGCATCCATTGCAATTATGAGCCGTTTACGAAAATCAAGGTACCTGTCCATTTAAATAAATTATATAATCCGTCAAAGAATTAACTTTATATTAATGGAGGTGGTGGGAAATTATACTTGTCTTTGCGTAGTAAAACATGTCTCAGGGAACCATTGACCATAAATTCAGTCACAGTTGCTAATGTACCCCCTGGTCCATCTTGCACAACACCATAGAAAGCAACAACATTTGGATGATGAAGCTTTGAAAGAATCTCAGCCTCACGCCAAAACTCATTTGTCTGGGAAAGGAGACGATTATTAGTTATGCTTTAATTTCATGTTGATAGAAATGAGTGATTCCATATATAAAAGGAATACCAGTCTCTCTTGCTCAGACGATCGACCTGTGAAGCAACTTTTCTTTATTCTCTTAATGGCAACATCACTGCCCCTCCATTTTCCATGATAGACGGTTCCAAATGTGCCGGAACCCAATTCTTTAAGCTCCTCGAGATCCTCATTTTTTATAAGCTGAAAACACACCATATTTTAAATAATGAACCAAATATAATTACAACAAAAAAGTGGGAATATAAAACACCAAATGCACTAGTTTGTTTCGTAAGAATCTTATAGTCATGTCCCTTTACTTTTTTTTTCATTGTCTCCTGTCCTAGGTCAGGCACTGAAGATAGTGTTGATATAGTCACAGGTCGTATGCTAAGCCATGCTGACATAGGACGCATACATATATGCAACATTCCAATCTTATGATTTGTCCGATCATGTATATTGAAACGTTTATTTAATATAATAAATGAGATGCAGATTATGGCTTTCTTCCACGAAAAAATGGAAGCAGGGAAAGAAACAAGGGAGGTATAGCAGCTCTCTGCAATGGAAGCATCAATTGCAGATAATTAAATACTTGCAAAAGCATATCAACCACATGTAAGTCTATACTGGAGCACAGGAGTTAAGCCATTACAGCTTTATCAGATGGAACTCCATCTACTATGAAACACATAATTATTGCTCACAAAAGTCATGGCTGGAAATCATATTTGCAACATACTAGCAGGTTAAGGCAATTTTATGATAAAATTAGCCAACAAAAACTACATATGCAATAAAAGCACAGACATATTTAGCTTATATTGTCAGTGACAGAAAAATGTAGCAACTGTAATTTTCATTGTATAACTGTCAGTTGGCCTATACTTAGTGTTACAGCTTTATCAAATGGAACTCCGTCTACTACGAGACTCATAATTATTGCTCGCAAAAGTCATGGCAGGAAATCATATTTGCAACATACTAGCAGGTTAAGCAATTTTATGATAAAATTAGCCAACAAATACTACATATGCAATAAAAGCACAGAGACATATTTAGCTTATTGTCAGTGATAGGAAATGCAGCAGCTCTAATCTTCATTGTATAGCTGTCAATTGCCTATTCAGCTATTTTTAGTGTTACTCTCAATTAAAACAATTCAAAGCATACCTGCAAGTTACTAAGATCTATGTCACCCACGGAAGCATCAAGAACAGGCCCACTAGCTTCCCCGATTGCAAATTTTACCTCCTAAAGGCATAAAAAGGATAGCAAAATTATACATCAATATAATAGATAAATGCACCACTGATGCCGGAAAATGAGACAAACACCTCATAAGCTGAGTCAGTTGCTCCCCTTGGCAAAGAATTCTCCTGCAAGCCTTCGCCATGATGAGCAGCTTGTGATGGTATATGACCTGGGTGTAAGATATTAGAATTGTCTTCAGTAGTGCCCAATATCTCTTGTTGCAAGTCCTCATCAAACTCCACTGGCGAATTCATGTGACCCAAATCAACCCCCTTGCTCTCCAATGCACCAAATTCATATGGCCTAGGAACTCCTACGTGATCTTGATCCATAAGAGAAATGTCCTTTCGTGCAAACTCATCTTGAGCCAAATTCCTGAAAAAAGACCAACGTTGAGGTTCATGATTCTGCATGTTGACGCTGATTCCAGCATCACCTTTGCGAAGAGGGGTCAACCCGAATGAATCCTGAGCTATTCTAGCCTTTGAAAAAATATCAGAGAGCAGATCCCGAGGAAATCGATCATTAATATCAATAAGTATATCTTTCCTCTCTGGGGCGATAATCGATGGTTCCTCTTGAGAAACAGCAGGTTGAGCTTGAACAGGCTCCAGCTTATTTGTTTGTGTGATCGTGTTAGCTAACTCTTTATATTTTTCAAACTGCTGTAAACCATCCTCAATAGTTGTAGAAGTAGGAAGAGGTGGCTTTCCAATGGGAGACCTAACTTTATGAGAAACCACATTTCCTTCAGGCAAAGGATCAGCACCTTCGACAGTTGACACATGAACAGCTCCAGATTGTGATTGAAGCATCAGAAACTGTGAACCGATAGAGTCATCAGACTTTGACAAGCGATTCATGGACTCAGCCTGCTCCCGAGGAATCCTTTCAGAATGAAAGACTCGTGCAGGACGTGCAGGTGGGTCAGCGCCTATAGAATCATAGTCAGAAAACCCAGAAGCATATTGGTCATCTTCATTAAATTCAGAATCATGATCAGTATACGCATCATTTGGGGAGGACTGTGGTCCAGGCTCCTGCTGCTTTCCGTTATGTTTTGAAATTGAAACATCATGCAGCAGCTGCTGGGATGTAGTAAATTCATTATTCAAATGTTGGATGTTTTCACTTTCGCTTTTTTGCAGCGTTGAATTATCAACTGTTGGTTTTGATTCTTGTGCAGATAATAGATTATCAAGCACTGGAGCAGAAGTTCCTCGACTAGGTGCATATTGAGAATTATAGGCATAATCAGAAGGCACAGATCCAGGGATGGAGATTCTGCTATTTGTATTCTGAAAATTATCAGGTGGATGTATAGTAGAGAATGGATATTGCTCACCTTCAACATACTGCACCCTTTGGGCCTGATATGGATGGAAATGGGCATCATATTCACTTGATAAACTAGCCTGCAATTGTGATGCCACTGTAGTAGGAGTAACGAAATTGCCAGAGAATGGTACAGTTTGGATCCCAGCTGACTCGGTTACAACTCTATTTGGAGCATCCCTGCCAACTTCTACCGTAAGATTGAGTAATTGATCCATATTGCTCGCTGATGAGGTCGCTAATCCTGGCTCACTTGAAGTTCTCATAGTTGGATCAATCCCATTGACAGCAACCACGTACTGAATCTCAGAATCTCCGTCCATACTGCCTAAGCTATAATGTGTATCATCAATATCATTGGAGAAGAGAAACATCCTAAGCTTCTGTGATCCCTCGCCACCTTCAAGGAAACTGCACTCCTCCATCATATTTTGGAGATCTTCATCACAAGAAACCGATACCAATGCATCGAGATCCTCTCCAGGTAATTGATATTTAATAGTGTGAGGTTGATTATATACAGCCAATGTCTTCTGAATAAGTTCTTGCCAGGTGATGTCCCTGCTGATTCGAATAATTCTTGTATCACCTCCAACATACCTTAGTTTTGAGTCACTTGGTCGGGGTAAGATTTTACCACCGAAACTGCAGAGGACCTTCATCTTCTTCGATGAGGAATCAGGAGCTCCTGAAGATGAATACCCAGAAATTCCTGATAATGCACGTGGTGCTGACCTTGAAGAAGCATAGCAACCTTTATTTTCAATCTCAGATGTGTTGCTCTTCTCAATTTCCTTAAAATGAGTTCTATCTCCACTCATAAGCATCGAAACATCAGACCCACTTTCAGATCCTGTTTGGGAAATTCCTAGCATGCCCCTTAGATCCATATAGCCAGTGGCATAATTTTGATCTCCAGATGGCTTTTTGGATACCGCCCTCTCTCTCATGAACTCAAGTGCAAATTCCTCACCTGTCTGAATTGAGTAATTTACAGGCCTGACATTGCTAGATGCAGTAGTCTCTGGAGGCCTAACAGTAGTCTCTGGAGGCCTAACATTGGTGTTTGTAGAAGTAGACGGAAGCTGCATGAACCTTTGGCTTGCAGGCGCAAATCCTTCTTTTCTAGTATCCATGAAACTACAGTTTTTTTTGTAATGTATTCATCACTCAACAAATTATTAATGTTTCTACTCCATCTAACCCATCTGACATGGCAACTAGCTCAATGGGTTAATAATTCCTTCTACCACTGACAGTAATAATTTATGCTACGCTAACTGAATGACAAACAAGGTATGTGAACTTGGTTTTCTAAATTATGCAATTGAACTCTCCCAATAAGCAGAAACAACGGCCAGTAACTAAAAAGGACAAATAGCTATAGTATGAATGACGGTGAAGGATGAGCCAGACCCCTTAAGTATATTTTCATTTGATTATTAGGACCAACCTGCAACAAGAAAAGAGATTAGGTCATTAAATTAGATGAATATAATAAAATTCTAAACAGATGGAAGCTAGGAAGGTTGTTTAAAGAAAATAAAAGAACATCTCTCCAACTATGAAGGGAATAATCTCTAATTGTTATCAAACATTGCATCAATATCATAAGATAGTTTAGTTATATTCAAAAACATGAAACAGCACATAAACAGGACCACGTAATTGTTGTTGTAATAGCTCAAGTGGTTCAGATCCATGGTGGATGTAACCTGTCAAACATCTTTGACCTGCCTCACGTGAAATTTCCCCAAAAAAGTAAGAGTAGTAAATGGCTCTCCTGACTAGTAATAGGAGAAAAGGAACACATCGACTTGATTAGTATTGATACATATGTTTTGGAGAAGAGCATAAGCAACCTGCACACTCCAATATCAAGTATAGGGAAAAGAATGATAGTGATATTGATCAGTCAGAAAAATTGGAATGGCTTCAGTTTGGAAACGGAGATTGGAGGAACTGAGGTCTGGATGAGATGATGGGCAACCACTTTGGGACTTAAAAACAAAAATGCCTTACTGAGGAAGTTATTTTCGAAAAGCAAATAATGGAATTATTATAGTATTCATGATTACAGTCGCAATAACTTTGAGACTAAGGGCTTGTTTGGATTTGGACCTACTGAAGGGAAGTTAAGGGAACATAGGAGAAGTTAAGTTAAAGGCAGGTAAAGGAACAAGTAAAACTTGTTTGGGAAACTAGTAAAGGGAATCAAGGGGAACTTATTTCACCCTATTTGGAAAGTTTAATAAAGTGAAGAGAAGGGAATATATGTAACCTTACATAAATAACTTTGCATGTTACGAAGTGATCATTTTATTGTTAGAAGTTAGATAAAGGGTAAAATGATCTCTTCAAAATTGTTTTCCTATTAGAAGTTCCATTAACTTCCCTTCACCCTAGTCACACCCCAAATTGGAGGGTGAGAAAAACTTGGTTTTCCTCCCCTCCTTTACCTTCCCTTCTCCCTCACTACCTAACAAAAGTTAATTTCCAAACAAGGATAATGAGTCCCCTATTTTCCCTTACCGCTCTTTACCCTCAATCCAAGCAAGCCCTAAAAGCTAGGGGTAGGATCAGATTATAAGGCTGCAAATGAAGTAAAGATAACATAGAAATGGCCTCTTCTAATGATCAAAGAACCCCTTCTCATGTGCTAACTCGGTTCATAGTGAATTATCTCATTCTTTTGAACTAGTCTTGTACTAAAGTAACTTTAACAATTAAAAATGATACTTTCATCTCCAGAAACTAAAGACTTTCACTTTCTTTCTTTTATTTGTAAATTTTACATTAACTATTTCACCAATCAGAACATTTTTAACATAAATGATAGGTAAGAAAGCTGCAAAAAGTCTTAGTTCCCATGTTCCTACCAGTGCCCAAATTTTGCCATCATATTGAAGATAACCTGCCCTAGGCTTGGCTAAAATGCCCTACTTTCCATTTTAAAAATCTCTCTACTTTCAAAAGTGAAACTCCAAATCATTTCTTTTTCTTGCAAAAGCTGGCATTTGGGCCTCTCTATAGCTCACGTGCGGCCTTCCTTCAAGAAAGCCGAGTTTTCCCAGCCCTAGATATCAACAAACATCAAGGATAGTGTATGCTTTGTACACTGCTAAAACATGATGCTGCAATGCCAATCGTGCTTTCGCAAGATCATCTTTCTCATTATCACCATCAAGTCGCACCTCAGCCTCTATTGCTGCGAGATAGTTCGGGCTCTCACGCATCAGTGCGCCGTCAATGCTTGACTCCATCAGATTTATGGCTGAAGATGGTGACATTCTTGATGGGTTTTATGACGTTCTTTATGGGCTTTACAGTGCCAAAATACAGAGCCAGAGGCTGCTGCTCCGCATGCGATTGCTACGACTGTTATGGCGCGATTGAAAAATTATTGTTGATTTGATGTAGGTTGTTTATTTTGTGGGATATACATGATATTTGTTGAGTGTTATTTGATAGGAATGACTTTGATTTCATTGGTAGTTTTGTAATAAACAGTAAATTTTTTCCTTTCATCACCTCGCTAGAACTTAGATAATTGACTAAAGAAATAATTTTGTAGCAAAAAAAAACTAAATTTCTTACAAGTGAAGAAACACCAAATTATTCCTACAAGTACAATTACTATTTCTTTTAATAAAACATTGTGCATCATATGTGTTCATTTGTTGAATTAATAAGATCTTAAGGGAAACATATAAGTTCATCAGTATAGACTCATTAAAACATTGAAATTTTTAAACAATACCAACACCGTAGCTTTTCTAACACGTGACATCCTATATTATCTATACTACTTATAAAAGAAAATTGGGATGTCAAATTTTTGATCGCCTCTTTTACCCTCTTAAATTTTAATAACTTTTATACTTAATCTAATCTAATTTCTATATGATTTCATAGAGTTGGACTGTTTGGTTATTTGCTGGAATTCTTAATTTGTAGACATTGATTCTTCATATGAGAATTTGTAAAGATATTATGGATATAGCAACATATAATACAAATTTTCATGCATTGCATTGTTTGCACAAGGAAATAACAACAAGTACTCGATAAAAGTATTATATTTGTAATACTTATAATATAAATATTATATTATTTTATTATAATTATGGTTATGATAGGTAGGACTACCCAAAGCTAGGAATCATGGACAAAATATCAGCCTCACATGATTACATCTGAGCAAGGCCATATTAGATTTTATTCTACACTCCTCTGGGAACAATTTGAAAGACTAATATCAAGGTTAACAAAGATTAGAAATCAAATCTTATGATTGTCCGCTGTCCTCATCGAATTGACCCTATAGCTGCCCAAGTATCAAACTCAGACTCATAATACAAAGGTCTAAAGTAAATTAAGCTACCTAAGCTCGTATAATACAAAACTAGTAGTATACACAGCTGTCATTTATGCAATAAGGACATTAAAGAAACATATCACAAGATCTAAATGATGTTCAATGGAACTGACCAACATCAATCACAACGAACACAGACTATATAGCCTTGAGGAGTGAAACACCCAGAGAGAACACCTTGCATCTCAAACCTTATTGAAATTAGCTTCTAATCTCTCGAATTGTTTACTCCTAAAAGTGCAGTCAAATCTTATGATTGCATGCCATCCTCGTCAAGCTAACCTAGATACCAAAGTCAGTCTAGTACCGAAAATATTGAAAAAAACTAACCTGCCTAAGCTCATATAATCCTACAGTAACAGCATATACAGTCGTCATTGTACGTAATAAATTCATAAAAGAGAAATCTTATCATAAATCTTGATTATGATTGAAATTAATCAAAACGAATCTTAAGACAGACAAACTATAACCTTAGAGGGGAAAACGCCCATATAGAGCATATTGCATCCAGAACCTTGATCAGCTCAACTTCATGTTTCAAAAAATCATGCATAAGATTGGATAGGAAGCGATACCCATCTCAAAAAATCCAATATTTTTCATCTCCTCAAAATCAAAAACCAATTTTTATCACCTTTATTTGAGATCTAACCTTAGAACCCTAACTGGTATCATGTAAACAGTAGCACAACTTACCCAAAAATTCCCGATGAAAGCAACGAGTATCAAAGATCTCCCCCAGAGACAGCGGATCACTAGGCTTTGAGGCGAATCAACGTTGCTAATGGGAAAAAGAAAAAGGAAATCTGGGGATTTTTTGTTATTTTTTCGACAGTGGTCTGAGAAAAAAAAATGGAGTTTTGTGCTAGTCAAAAAGGAGTTTGAGTTAATCCTGCGTTCGAATGCCGTGGATTTATTCGGATTCATTTTCACCCTTGTTTCTTGCAATTATTTACTGGAATGCCATTTGAGCCCGGTCCAGCTGGGCGGTGGTGGTTCTGGTTTTTAATTCTGCATTTGAACCGGGCCAACTTGACATTGGATCTCATATCACACATAAATAAATTTCTTAAGTAGCAAATGATGATGATAATCATGATTATCTATAATAGAAACAAATTTTTTGAAGTAAAAATTTCATACTTTTTAGATTAACTCGATTGAAAGTATTTGAAATGTTCATGGTAAATAATATATTTATCGTAACTAATATGCTGATTATGAATAAACAATATATTTATGAGCTCATTATGGAGTAAGACTTCTCGTATGCTTTAATGTTGTTACCTACCTCACTGTTAAAAAACAAAATAACAATCGCTATATTTTATTAAAATTTTGAATAAAGTAACAGTGGAGCCTAATAATAGTTAATGCAATTCGTGAACTATCAAGAATTTATCTATTTATAATATGTTTCTTCCTAATCAGAGTTACACAAGTTTATATCTTATTAATTTACTTGGTCAGAGAAATTTCATTTCGTCTCTCCACTACACTAATAATGGATGTAATATAGAAGCGAACCAACAATCAGATCAATTTATCAATTGACTATATCATTAGCCATACTGCGGATCTAGGTTCATTTAGGTAGGGCACAAAAAGTTATAAATATATAAAAATTGAATTGTATCATTTCATTAAAAGTGCGTTGTTGATTCATAAATCATAAGGCAAGCGAAACATATATATAAACCAAAATTCTTACATTCAAACTGTTATTTTCAATATATTTTCTAAAAATTCTAAATCCTATGATGGAAGTTCACTCTTTTCTGAATACTCTAGGAAAAACCTTTCCATCTTCTCATAATTCAATATAAATTTCAATTTGTTTACATAAAATACAGTATACATTGCATAAAAGAGAAAAAAAAAACATAAACGTATTTAATTCTAACTAGTTTAAACCATACTAAAGTAATAATAAACAAATTGAGAAATACATGTCTGATTGGATTAATGATTAACTAGAATAGAAGAATTGTTATTCATAAAAGAAATATGACAAATAACAAGTAAAATATACTAAAATATAACAGATCTGTATATATAACTTACATAAACTTACTTGTCAAATGTTTCTACGGAACTTGAGATCAAAAAATTTATGAACTCGATCGAAAAGAGGATTGAGGTTCCTAACAGAGATTGTACAAGATGAGATGAGATGATTGGTACTAATCTATGTTCCTTTTTTTTTCACAGACTTCACAGGATTTATTTATTTTCAAATTTTGATGGAAATAATTCATTTTGGGAAATAAAGGGCCAGTCTTATATGTATTTGAAATATGGTAGGGTTTCCTTAAATGTTTTTGATTGATATTTAATTAAAATATGATGTCTTCTGATTTGATGGCTCAGATTTAATTAGTTATATATAGAGAGGTTTTAGATGATAGGCACAAAGAAATTTAGGTTATTATAGAAATTAATGAGAAATAAATCCAGCCTTAACTAATTCCCTAATTTTCATGTTGGGCATAAGATCATTAGGGGTTCATCTCATTTGCACCGGGTTCTTTAAAGAACCCGGCCTTAAGAACCCACTTGGATTAATTCTAGCCCCAGACTAGAGAAAGCTTCTTCCCTACTTGTTAATCTGTGATGAGGTCTTAAGACTTAAACACTAAATTAAGCTATATTATCTCTAGGTAGAGTTATCTCCACGTTTATATATGCCTTTATAAGTTTGGTTGATAAGATTCTACATGGAGATGTGAAAAGGCTTCTCATCGTAGCAAAAGCCTACACATGTTGTTTAGGAATTTATGTACATCTTCATCTTTTCACATCTAGAAATTTGCAAATAACAAAGTATTTTTTTAAGACTTTCTTTCATTTTTTAAGACTTGTTAAACTCAGATGAACACTGAGTTGATAACTTTACATACTGATTACTAGACAATAATGAGAAATGAGTTTGTGAGTTTGGTCAAATTTTGGACCACCTACGGCAAAAACTTTAGATTTTAGATCTTCCGAATGCGGATCAAACATCCGAATCTAATCCAATAATTTTAGGCCTAGTATCTAGATCCAATCTAAGTCTGAATTTGATTGGTCTAGATTTTTGTATTCAAATTTTATTATACCTTACCACAATAATCAATTTCTCCTAAAATTAATGAACATACAATAATTTACAATTAGGTAACATTTAAAGGCCTTTGGCCTACAGCTATGGGCACATTATGATCATTTTATGCTCTCTACATACTGCAGTACAATAAAATATCACACAAACCTTCTACAACATATTAATGTCATGACAACTATATGAGGGTACAAATAAAGAGGAGATAACTCTGTTCGGATGATTAGGGAATTTTAGTGTGTGTGTTTTTTCCTTTCGTGCCCCGGGAGATAATAATTGACTTATGGTGTGTTTGGGAGTTTACTAAGGGAAGGGAAAGAAAGGTAAACAAAGGGAAGGGAAGGGAAGAGAATTGTAATATGTTGTTTGGGAGTTGAGTAAGGTGAATGAAGGTGAAAGACCAAACAATTTTACCATCTGTTCCCCTTCCTTCCTCCTCTCTACCCTCCTTAAAAAAACTCCTAAACAAGGTGAAAGCTGTATTTCTCTTCCCCTCCCCCTCTCTACCCTCCATCCAAACAGGACATTAAGCCCAATAAATACTGTATGCAAAAATGATTGGAAATAAAAAGAAAACATTGAATATATCCTTTTCATTAAAGCAAAATCTCAATTGTGACCTCAAGATATGCAGGCTTAGCTTGTTTGTCTTCTAAGCAGTACAAAGATAAGAAGAGTATCTTCTTTAATCATTTCTCAACTTGAAGCTGCATTTTAGTCCTCGCTTGTCTCCTTCCACATGGGCAGTTTACAATTGTACGTACTTAAAAGCCAGCCCTTTGCTTGCCTTTTAAGCCCTGGAGTCTTTATTCAATGTAAGTTCTTCTGTCACGTGTCTTCTACATTTGTGCTACATGAGTCATGACTCAAATTAGAAGATCGAGGGGTATAAAAGAGGAATTATGATAACTATAATATTTTCGGCTACATTATTTCTATACTACAAGAGAGAGAAATATTTAATGAGTCATTAATTTTGAAAAAAAAAGTTAAAAGTATGGACTCCATACTTTTCAATCTTGTAGTATAGAACCAGCATAGGAGTATTATTCTAGTTATCATTGTTGGGGAATTTAGTCTCCCCGTCTACTGTGATCTGCGCAACTCGGAAGCCAACCACAATCAATAAGATATAAAATAACCACAATCAAGAAGAAATAACACCGAGATTTACGTGGTTCGATCAACCAACTTCGACCTACGTCCATGTGGCAACAATACGAGAAATCAATTATGTATCAGGGAGAACTACAAGAGGAATCACTCAATTCTCGTCTCTCAATCTCTCACCTCACATACATAATCAACTCTCATATTCTCTCCGAAGTCTTCTCCTTATAATCTTTTAAACGAACAAAGACTGCGAAACCCTCTCCCAATGACGTAATCTTTTGCACGGACAAAGACTATGAAACTCTCGCCTCTTGTAGGCAAATAAAATTGCCTTTAAATCCAAAAATCAAGAGTTCGCCTGCACGACTCCGCCTGAGCGTCTAAAGCTCGCAAGAACAAAGCTTATGTGGCTTGTTCGCCTCCATCAAATAGGCTAAGTCAAGCTCGCCTGAATGCTTAATTTCGCAGGCGAAGTGAAGTTCGCCTAAGCAATGGACTTCACTTAAAAAAACTAAGCTCACCTGAATGCTTTGATCGCCCGCACGAGTCAAGCTCGCCTGCAGGAGGTTCGCCCCGCACGAACCAAGCTCGCCAACAGGGTTTAAGCTCGCCTGAACGCTTAAGGGGTTCGCCTGTTCACCTAGCTCACCTATAAGCTCGCCTAAGCATTTAACTCACTCGCAAGCTCGCCTGTAAGCTCACATGAGTGTTTAACTCGCTCACAAGCTCACCTGAGCGGTTAAAACCACTTACTTGAATTGTGGGAGTGGTTACGCCCACTTCCCATGATTCGAGGGGTCGGTTATGATCCTTCTTAACTATAAATAGCCTTTGACGGCTACAGAGAAGAGGATCGGATCCTTGGCTCTCGAATTCTTTAATTAATCTCGATCTTAGCATCTTTGAGATCTAATTCTTGGCGCTTTGCATCTTCTTGATCTTAGCTTTCCGAGATCTTGAATTCTCTGGGCATTCGGTCTTTTGGGAGATAAAAGAACCGAATCTTGCCTATTTTGAGCATTCGACCTTGATTTCAAGCTCGGGTGATCGAACTATTCAACTCAAGTTTCTACCACGCGCTGAAACTTGCCCGCAATCTCATTCAAATCGTTCAAGGGAAGCAAACTCGACACGAGCATCGAGGGAGACATCCTATCGCTACCAAAGAACTCACTTTAAATAAGGAGGGATCAAATCAATTCTTTTTGCTTCTCTGTAAAAGTGATTTTTGATTTATAATCCAATTTTAATTAATACAAATCTTTGAGATCAATTTTACGACCTACACCTCTCGCATAATATTCTTGAATCAGGCTATGCCCTCCGCTAACCCTATATTACAATAATATTAGCTTTCTCTTCTCTGCTTGGTTTTTCCTTCAACAATAGAAGAATATATATAGGGAAACCAAAACTCTATCTCTAGCCTAACTTCCTAATTAGAATAGGATTCAAACTCCTAATCATGATGAGACTCAATCTCCTAATCATGATAGATCTTTAACCCTATCTAATTCTTATGAAGTTATACAAAGAATCAAAGACATGATCCTAATAATCTCTACCATGGATTTGATTCTCAAACTCCCTTGAAGATCATCGTTGTCTTAAAACTTTGCCTCTCCTGCTAGAGTCTTCTATTCTTTTCGTACTTC